TGGGACTTGTTGCTGTTATTTTAGTTTAAAGCATTATTTAAAATGTTATCTGGATTATGGGAAGGTAGATTTTGTCTTCTCAACTAGATAACAATTGTCTGATGTAAATGTTTTGGAAACATGGAGTCTATTAAAATCAACTTCCAGGGGAAAGTTTAGACAGGAATTGTTTTGTTTGTTCAGTTTCAGCTGTACTAGTAGCTACCCACCCCCTTTCTGTGGCAGATAGGGTTGCATGTGTTTTAGGAACAGCTTGCAGGAGCTAGAGTGGGCACACTCTCATTCTATGTCCTCTGATTATTGCTGTTGATCACAGAAGTACAGACAAGGAGGTGGGGGATTGTTGCTGCACCTCTGTCCATGGCTGTAAATCCCCTCCCCTCTGGCTTGAGTGATTACCAGGGGTTTAAAGTACCTGCATCCTTTTTCCTTTCCTGTTCATTTTTCTTATTCCCTTACTTTTGGGAGCCAAGGATAAAAGACGAGGACCTTCAAAAGCAACTGATGATACAGGTAAAATGAGAAAGTGACTGTGCACATCTAGGGAAAGGAGGAGGCCTTAAATTAGTACTTCAGGCTGATCCTTTGTACAGAGACATCCTATAAACATTTCAAAAATTTAAAACAATAAGCAAAAAAGAGTAATAATACCCAGAAAACCATGAAGATGGAGAAGAATCTGATTTCCAGGGTCATGCAAATGTTAGATTCAAATGTACAGTTTTTCAACAAAATATCATAAAGCATAAAGGAACATGAAAGTATGGCCCATTCAGAGAAAAATAAAATAAACAGAAACTGTCTCTGAAAAAAATCTCAGGTCAAACCTACTGGGCAAAGACTTTGGAACAACTATCTTAAAGATGCTCAAAAGACTAATGGAAGACGTGGAGAAAGCCAAGAAATCTCTGCAACAAACAAAATGAAAATATCAAGAAAGACACAGGAACTTTATATAGAAGTAAAACATAAATTATAGAGTTGAAAAGTACAATAACTGAAATTTAAAAAGCACCAGAGGAACTGAAAGGCAGATGTTAGCCAGCTAAAAGACTGAATCACTGAATCTGAAGGTAGGATAAACCTATCAGATCTGAAGAACAGATAGAAAAAAAGATTGAAAGAAAGTGAGCAGAACGGACGGTACCTGTGGACCAACATACACATTGTAGTGGTCCAATAAGAAAAAAGAAGAAAGGGGCAGAGAAGAAATATGAAGAAATACAGGTCGGAAATCTCCCAAATTAGATGAAAGATATTAATATAAACTTCCAAGAAATTCAACAAATTCAAGTAACATGACCTTAAAGAGATTCACATGGAAGCACACTGTGATCAAGCTTTCAAATGTGAAAGACAGAAACTCCTGAAAGCAGTAAGAGAAATGACTACTTATATGTCAAGGATATTCAACAATAATATCAGAGATTTCTCGTCAGAAACTTTAAACCTAGAAACCAGTGGAAAGGTATGGGCAAAATGTAGATAAAAAAGATATCAATGAAAAATCCTGTATCCATAAATACTGTCTTTTAAAAGTAAAAGAGAAATTAAGACATCCCAGGTAAAGAAAAGTTATTTGTCACTAGTAAACCTGCACTGTGAGAAATACTCAAGGGAGTGCTACGGGGTGAAATGAAAGGATAGTAGACAATAATCTGAAGCTGTCTGAAAAAATTAAATGTCTCAATAAAAGTAAAGACATGGGTAAATATAAAAGCTAGTGATGCAAAACAGTTTTTAACCCCATTTTTTATATTTTGCATTATTTAAGAAAATAATATATTAAACAGATTAGAGGTATAAAAGGTAATATCATTGAAAATTTGGTTTGTAAATATATTTTTATATATAAGAATTAATCCTTTAAAAACAATTATTAGTTTATGTTTGGAGGTATTCAATGCATAAAATTTTATGGTATCAGTAACCAAAATGGGTGCAAATGGTGATGTAAGGGAACAGAGTTTTTGTGTGATACTGAAGTTAAAATTTATATTATGATAACTTTAGTATGTCAAATATAGTCCCTGTGATAACTAGAAAGACAACAGAAAATGTATACTTTAGAAAATGAGAAGGGAATGTAAATGTTTCCCTATGAAAATTAACAGAGAAAAAAATAGCAATGCAGAAATTTCAGGAAAAAAAGCTATAACCACTATGGAAAACAAATAGAAAAATGGTAACATTAAATTTCACCCTACAATCAATTTAACCCTAAAAGGGTTAAAGTTTCCCATCAAAAGACATAGACTGGCAGAATAAATAAAATACACGTTCCAGTTATATATATCTACAAGATACTTACTTTAGGTCCAAAGACAGTGGTAAGTTGAAAAGGAAAGGACAGAGAAAGAAATTCCATGCAAATACAAGCTAAAAGAGAAAAGGCTAGTTATGCTAACATAAGACAAAATACACTTTAAAAATATCTACAAGAGACAAAGAAAGTATATATTAGTAAAAAAATTAATATAACATGAAGATATATCAGTTATTAAAATTTATGAATCTCAAAAAGACTACCAAAATTTATGAAGAAAAAGTGCTAGAAATGATGGAGAAAATAGTTCTACAGTAATACTTGGTAACTTCAATAACCCACTCTATAATAAACAGAATGACCAGAAAGACGGTAACTATGAAACAACACAGCAAGTGAATAATAACAACAGCATATACATTCTTCTAAAAAATAGGTCATATGTTAGGTCACAAATTAAGACCTAGTATATTTAAAAAGATAGCATATGAATTACCTTTTCTGATCACAACAATATTAAGTTAGAAACCAACATCAGAAAGAAAACTGGAAAATTCACAAATTTGTTGTAATTAAATAACATACTTTTAAGTAGCTAGTTTAAAGAAGAAATCAGGAGGGAAATTAGAAAATACTTATAATGAAGGAAAATAAAGTGCAACATACCAAAACATATGGAGAGCAAAAATAGTCAAAAGCAGAAATACATAGCTATAAATACTTATATTAAAAAACCCAAGAAAATCTCAAATCTGACTTTACAATTTAAGAATGAGAAAAACATCAAATTAATACCAAAGCTTGCAGAAGGAAGGAAAGAACAATGATTAGAACAGGGATAGTGAAAAATCAGTGAAACCAAAAGTTGATTATTTGAAAATAGCAACAAAACTGACTAACACTTTTAAAAAGGGACTAAGAAATAAGAGAAGGCTCAAATTACTAAAATCAGAACATTATTACCAATTCTACAAACATAGAAATAATTGTAAGAAAATTACTATAACCCATTGTATAATAACAATAAATCAAGTAGCTGAAATGAAATGATCAAAATTCTTAGAAACACAAAACTTACTAAGAGGATATCATGAAGAAATAGGAAATCTGAATAGACCAATAATGTGTAAGAGAATTGAATCAGTAACCAAGAATCTCCCAATAAAGAAATGCTCAGGACTAGATGGCTTCATTGGAGAATGCTATCAAACATTTAAAGAACTACTACTAATCCTCCTCAAGCCTTTTCAAAAATTTTGAGAGAATACCTCAAGTTGCTTATGAGGCCAGTATTATGCTGATGACAAAACTAGACCATGAAACTATAAGAAACAGAAATTACAGACCAATGTCTTCAAAGATGACTTGCCAAAACTATTCAACAAAATACTAGTAAACCAAGTTCAGAAACATATTAAAAGATTACAAACCATGACCAAGTCGGATGCTTTCTTGGAAAACATAGAAAAATCAATCAATGTAGTATACTACACTGACAGAATGAAGGAAAAGAAACAATAATCCATTTGATTGATCATCTAAATTAATGCCCAAAAAAACAACTGACAGAATTCAACACCCACTCAAAACAAAAAGCACTTGATAAACTAGGAATAGAGTGAACCATAAGAGCTTTATAATAGCCGTGTATAGAGCCCTCACAGAAAACAAAATACTCAATGGGGAAATCCTGAAAATTTTTTTCTCTAAGATCAACAATAAGGGAAGGAATCCCATTTTAGCACTTCTATTAAGCATAGTAATATTAAAATATGTATTCAATGAATTTATAGACATAGGATATAAAGTAACATGCAAAACTCAGTTGCATTTCTATACACTAATAAAGAATAAAAGGAAATTTAGATAACAATTCCATTTATAATAGCATCTAAAAGAATAAAATTCTTAGGAATTAACCAAGAAGGTGAAAAACATCTACAAAGAAAATTACAACATATTGCTGAAATAAACTAATGAAGATATGAATGAATGAAAATACATTTTTCCATTGGAAGACTTTATATTGTCAGGAGCCCAATACTACCCAAAGAGATCTATGTATTCAGTGCTATCCCTTTCAAAATCCTAATGATTTCTTTCTTTGGCAGAAATAGAAAAACTCATTCTAAAGTTCATAAGAAATTACCAGAAACCACAAATAGCAAACTAAATCTTGAAAAAAGAGAGCAAAGCAGGAGGACTATACTATCTGATTTCAAAACTTAATACAAGGTGATAGTAGTTAAAACAGTGTGTATCAACATAAAGACAGTCATATGGACCAATGAAACAAAATGAAGAATTCAGAAATAAACCCTTTTATATATGGTCAAATAATTTTTGACAAAGGTACCAAGATCATTCAGCGGGGACAGTCTAGAAAAACAGGATATTCATGTGTAAGAATGAAATTGGACCTTTACACCATATACAAAAATTTATTCAAAATGGATCATAAACCTAAATATTTTAGGTTTTAAACCTAAAACCCCTGGAACAAATGTAGGTTCAAACTTCATACCAATAAATTTTAGAATTATTTCTTGGATATGACAACCAAAGCACAGAAAACAAAAGACAAAAATAAACTTGGCATTACAAAAACTTTTAAAAATTGTGTATTACAGGACAATTTCTACAGAGTAAAATGTAACCTCTTGTCTTAGTTACTTTTCTCATTGCTGAGACAAAATACCCAACTCCCAAGGTTAAAAGAGGAAAGGTTTATTTACCTTGCAGTTTGTAGAGACTTCAGTCCACAATGGCTCCACGGCAGGCTGGCATGGCAGAGGGGCAACAGTTCATGGTGGACCGAAGGTAGCAAAGCAACGGGAGCCTTAACATCCTCTTTCTGCCCCTTTCATTTTATCCAGACTACCTGAATTAGGAAAGTACCAAACTAATCCGTTGACTGGTTTAGTAATCGCACACCCTTAATCCCAGCATCACACACTCTAGATGCAGCTACCTCTGAAAAAGCTCTATGACTGCCTGAAGCTTTGGGGGGCCATCTAGACACAAACCCTAAGAGCTACTGACAGAAAGAAAATATTTGCAATAATATGTCTGATAAAGGCTTAATCTCCATAATATGAACTACTAAAGCTCAACAACACAAAAAACACACAACTGAATAAACACTTCCCCAAAGAAGATCTACAAATGGCTAAGAAGCACATTAAAAAATGTTTTTCCAACAGCTCTGATAATCATTAGCATTTTTTAGCAATAAAATATTTTAAAATTAATATATGTACATATTTTAGACAAAATGCCATTGGATGCTTAATAAATAATAGAGTGTAAACATAACATTTGTATGCACTAGAAAAACCAAAAGAATTGTTTGACTTACTTCACGGAGACATTTACTTCGTTGTAGTGGTGTGGTACTGAACCTGCAGTATCTCCCACTAGTACCTGTACTGCATGATTCCATTTAAACAATGTGCTTAGAGTAGTCAGAATCTTGGAGACAGAAAGTGGAATGAATGGTGGTTGCCAGGGGCTGGCAGAATCAGGGAGTGGGTACAGAATTTCAGCTTTACAAGATGAAAAGACTTCAGGTGACAGATGGTGGCACAACATGATGCATATATTTAATACCACTGTGTACACTTGCAGTGGTTAAGATGGTAAACTTTGTGTTACGTGGATTTTACTACAATAAAAAATAGAGAAATTGTTCTCATTTACTGTAAGGATATTTTTATTAACTTTGTCATTAACCATCTCCCGTCTCCTGTAAGGACAATGATTTTCAATTCCAGCTGCACATGATAATCACAGGGGTGGGGGGTGGATCCCCACGTACATTAGCCCAGCTCTACTCAGACCAATTAAATCAGAATTTCTGCGAGAGATGCCAGGCAACTAGAATTTAGAAAAGTTTCCTAGGTGATTCTGAAGCATAGCTTGGGTTAAAAATAACTGATGGCTCTCCCTCAGATTCTCTGAGACACAATTTTCATTTTAGTTCAAGAAAGCTGACAAAAGTAAAAGAGAGAAAGCTTGTTTCAATCAATAGGAAGTGGAAATAATTCAACCAGTAAAAAGCAAAAGTGTAATATGAGAAAAAGAAAAAAAGGAAACAAAGTCTTTGTAAATGGGGGGGTGATTTGGAGGAGTTGAAGGGAGGGCAGGGGAAGGGGGAAAAAGAAGAACCAATATAGATTATGTAAAGGTGCAAATCGCCAATGATGAATGTCATACTGTATACCTAAAATGTACTAATAAAATTAATTAGAAATGTGTTTGTGTTTGTTTTTGCTTTTACAAACAAAGGACTCCATAGTTTTTCCTTAGTAATGGTCAACCTTATCCAGGATCAGCAACAGTGTTTCAATACTGTTGTTTTCCAAGGTCATTAATCACTTTCTATCTCAATTTCATTACATTTTTAAGAAAATGTGGTTTCTTACTTTCCATTTTCTTTCCTTAGTTCTTTATCCAATCAACACTGGGAATACCAGTTTAGAAGAAGAAAGGCTGTACTACTCCAAAAGCATATATTCTCCTTATTGAGCTAGCTGAGATTTTTGTCTATGGTTAAGATGAATCTTTCATGGTCTAAGCATGGATATTATTATTTACACTAAGATGGTTATAAAAACCTTGTCAGATATTGCTTCAATAATGCCACATGACAAACAACCCCCTGGCTCTCGTATCTCAGGAGATTATATTAACACATTTTTATTTTCTTGCCTATGGCCCAGTGGGTCATCTGGGTTTCTGCTGACCTTGCTGAGTTGAGCTGGATGTGGTTCCAGGCTCTAGGTCAGGTCTGTGTCTGCACCATATGTGTCCATCTGCGGTGAAGCAGGAATAGAGAACTAGGACAATCTCCTCTTAGAGCAAATTACAGAAGCTGAAGGGGACACAGTGAAAACACTGAATGCCTCTTAACCCTCCGCTATGGACTGGCACATGACTCCCACCCCCGGCCATTCGCCAAAGAAATTCTGCTCTGATCACTCTGAAAGAACTTAAAGTTCACATGGCTAAGAACTTGATGTATAATTTTATTAAAGAGCTGGTAACAATAATGTAATCTATTCCAAACACATGTTTTGACCTTCATGACATGTTTTGCATATACTGATGGATCACTTCAAATGAGTATGAGAAATAGGGTCCAAAAGGCTATCGTTCTAGAATAATTACCTGGTGTTACATCTGGTATATCTATAAGACTGAAGGTATAATAGACATTTTAAACAAATGTTTTGGAAGGATCAATTCAATGGTACTAAAGTGAAGACCCAATTCTGAATATATCTGGATGCTATTTGGCAATTTTCATAATCTTTCCATGTGGATTTTTTCAACTCTTAAAACACATAGTAGTACCCTGATTATCAGGGAAAGCCTCAAATGCCATATTTGATAACACTTGGCAAAATCTAAAGTACAGTAAAAAAGGAGATTGCTGTAATTATAAATTTCACTTACTGCTTCAAAGTTTCAATTTGAAATTATATTTAATTACCCAGCCATAGGGCCGCATCTTCCCTCTGGCCTGTTTCATGAGTGAGGCATAAGAAGGCTCTGACAACTCCACATGCTTAAAGCAGGGTTGCAAACTCATGACACATGGAGCCTATCCAGTCTAGCTGGGCCCACACAATAGCAGGCCAACACTGATGGTACCTCAATGTTAAGAAATCAGAGATTTTTTATTAAAAGCACAATTTCTGGTTTCTCTTGAAGTACAGAAGATTTAGCACCTTCAGCCTACATTCCCCCATGGCAACGACAACATAGCAACTGCTTCTTTAAGAGGTGGGAGCCCTCCAGGTTCCCACATTTCCCATTACTTCCCATTGTGCTACACCCGCCCACTTGATTCATGCCTGTTATTTTCTGGGATCTTTATACAAGGCTAATATGCAATAAACTTAGCTATAAAAGCCAAGAACCAGCCAATTAGAAAGAACATCGGTCATGGGGTGGTGAAGCAGGACTGTGGGGCACGTTCTACTGAGGCCAGACGTTGCTTCTTTAAGAGCTGCCATATGGGGTGATGCAAAAGATTTTAGGAATAGGGCCAGGGTGGCCACGGTGGCAGTAGCGACATGCTGGGGACTCAGAGGAGGGGTTTGTTATCAAGTGTTAGAGAAGGATTCCAACATTTTGATAACAGGTATTCATTTCCTTGGTGTACACAGCTCTGATTATCAACATTGCTGTAAAATTTGCCTTTTTGTTCTAGAATGGATTCAATCAAGAATAAGGACTAAGTATAGAAATGACTGGGAACCTAAATTCAGAAAACTTTTTCAAGTTCCCCAGAAAGATGGCCAGAACACAGAGGATCAAAAGAAATAGTTGCTTATTCCAGGAAAGCTGCCTGGTCTCCCATTCTGTCCACACCCAGCCTTTTGGCCAAACAAGAGAGAAATTTTTTCTAGTCTAGGGCCTCTGTGCCCTCTTTCCCTCTGACTGGTCCATGTCAGCCTGGTTCCTCTTGCTGCAAGTGTAGGTGACGTCAGAGCAGGGCAGGAGCTCAGGGAAACTGCTTGACAGCTTCTGATCTCTTAGAGATAAAACAGCACAAATTTATGACATGTCTTAATGAATTATAATGGGTTTAGTATCCAAAATGATAGCCCCTTTTCCAAAGTTCGTCATGAAATACCCACTTCTGGTTTATCAGTTGTTTCATCTTGCCATCCACAGAAAAGCTAAGTATGCAATTTCATTTATGAGTGAGACCATTCTCTCCCATGATCTTTTTTGAAGATTTTGTGCTTGTGGCAGAAGAAATGAGTTTTTTAAAAAATGTCAATTTTATGATTCCTCAAATACCATATTTCTTTGAGGTTTCCATTTTTAGATAGAGTAGAATGTGTCATTTAAACAGAATAGTCTATTTTATGATGAAAAATATATGATGTTAAGATGGAAAAAGGAGCAATAATTCAATCGTACAGCATGACTTGGGCCAGAGAAGAGGAACAGGATTGTTGGAAGGCTCTAGAGCCACTAGGTACCTATCCTTACTTCGGTTCCTCAAGCCAGGCACCGATAAGTGGCAATTTGCTGTCTGAGAACTACACAGCCTTAAGGCGTCGAACTCATTCGGTCTTTGTGGGAGAAGATGAACTTGTAATATCTCCCTGGGAGGCTCCTAAAAGTACAAAGCTTGGGGGAGTTGCTGGAAAATTACAGTAAAGAAGTTGTATAATATGACATGTTCTGAACTAATTTAGTCTCCATAGGATCAAGGAAATTAGCTAGTGAATTAAACCCACCACTCCAGATTTTTAAAAAAATAGTTGCTTGATAAAGGTTTCGTGCTGACTTACTTACTAGGCTAGCACAACTGCTCTACATGCCATTGTATATGCGATATTTCTCCATATTAACTGAGTCTTCATGTCATGCTGAGGAAAATAAAATGAATAAATAACCCTACAAATCCGTAATATTTCATTATTTTGTCTTTTTTCTTCTATTTCTCTAACCTCTGCCTCTTTTCTTCCCAAACAGGATATCTCATGTCACTTTCAAAAACCTACAGGGCAGGTGTAATTATTACTATTTTTATTTTTCCAGTTGAAGAAATTGAGGCCAAAGAATCTGAAATTAAAAGGCTCGACCCTAGCATCTGTACCCAGTTCTATATTACACTGTATCTCCTTTTATTCCAGTTTTAGTTGTTTCTTTACAATCATCCTGAAAAGAAATTGGGTGGAAAAAAATCTTAGTTTTTTACCTGTGGTCTCCATTCTGTTTTTTTTCAATTGCATTCCTCTCTTCTTTCCACATGGACTTCCTTAATTCATAGGCTAGGTAGAATAGAAAAATAAATCTTATGCTTAACGGGATGACAAGAAACTCAAATTTAGGCATTAAAAAGAGTGAACTAAAGAATATTACAATATTTCATTCTAGACAGTAAAGTGTGGTACATGGGCAGACAAATATATTCCCAGGATGTTTTATTATTAATTGGATACACTTGCCAGTGAGCTCCTACCAGGAGCAAGATATTCTATTGGGAATATGGAGGTAAAACAATGATTGGCATAGTTTGTCTCTTTGAGGAGTGTCTTCACAAAGGAAATCCTGCCCTATAGTATGAGGCTAGTTAAAACAGAGTTGTAATTGAGATACAATAAATGCAGAGGGGAAGTGTAGAGGTGAGAGGGGATTCATTCTCATTGGAGTTAACTGGGAAGCATTTAACAAGAATGTGGCATTTGAAATTTCCCCTAAAAGATAAATAAAAATATTGCATGAAATGGAAAATATAAAAAAGTTGTTTTGGTCTGGCTGGAGCACAGAAGGGTTCCTAAAGGGCATAACAGAAGATACTAGTGGCAAATATATTGAGGTCAGATTCTGAAGATACACATTAAGAGTCTTGATTGCTATCCAGAGACAATTAGGATTTGCTGATTTTTTTATGTTGAAAAATAAGATAATTTGACCCCTGCAAAAATAATTCTGGCAGTGCATGAAGGATGTACTGGAGTGAGTCTGTGAACAAGGAGGTGAGTCAGAAGGCCATTGTCCTTGTTGGGTTAGAGATGAGCGATGATATATTACTGCAGCTATCCAGTGCCGTGTAATAGATTACCCTAACATTTAGTGGTTACAAACAGCAAGCGTGTATTTTCTTACAGGTTTCCTAGGTCAGGAATTCCAGGGTGGCTTAGCTGGGTGCCTGTGGGCCTCAGATTTCTAATGAGGTTGAAATCAAATTTTGGGCCTGGGCTGCAGTCTTTGTGTAAGGCTTGACTCAGAGAGAACCCACTTCTGAGTTCATTCACGGGGTCCTGTGCAGGTCTCAGGTCTTTGGAGGCAGCAGTTTGGAAACCTTAATGCCTTGCCTTGCCTGTTGAGTTTCTCCATAGGACAACTCACAGCATGGCTGAGACAGCCCTTGGGGCAAGAGAGGGTGCCTAAAATACAAACTACAGGTTTTTCCTGACTTAATCTTAGAAGTAGACTCATCAATTTTGCCATATTCTTTTCATTTGAAGCAAGATACCAGGTCTAGCTTATTATTTAAGACAAGATTAAACAAGGAATGAAAACCGTGAATACAATCCCCAAATGAGTATCTTGACATCCTCAGAATGTGGCCGTATTTTGTGACAGGGCTTTTAAAGAGTAACTAAGGTACAGTGAGGTCGTATGAGTGGGTCTTAATTCAGCATGGCTGGTGGTCTGTGAGAAGAGGGAATCAGGGCACAGGCCCATAGAGAGGAGCACTCCATAAAAACACAAAGACTGCCACTGACTACCATGGAAAGAGGCCTCAGATTCTGAATGATATCTGTGATGCCTTGATCTCAGATGTGTAACCTCCAGCACTGCAAGGAAATAAATTTGTGTGGCAGCCCTGGAAAATGAATGGAGTATGGAGGTCTAAACGTGAGTGGTGAGAAGGGAAATGGAAAGCAGGGGAGAGTTACGAGTAGCACCCAACAACTGCACTGTTAATTTTTAGATAGGAACGTGGCGACTCCCCTGAAACAAGAAGAGCTCTTAAGTATAAATCAGCTTAAGCAAAACTACTTTTCTTTGCTTACTGATTGAGTTCTTTATTGGTTTAATGAAGGATACAGACCCGATAGAGCAGAGGCAGTGCAACTTGGTTCCTGCTGCACATTTAACATCTTCAGTCCCAGGAGGAGTTCTCCAGAAGTAGACACTGCACAGAGTTTGAAGCAAGATTTAGGGATCAGCAGAAGTGAAAGGGAGGAAGCTGGAGTGGGCAGAGGGTAAGGTCCAGCTATGATTCAGGACCACTGTCCTGAGGAGTTTGGAGGAAAGCATTGCCTGTGTAAGTCCTGTAGAACACCCTGCAGAGGAGACTGGACAAGGTGGCCCTGCAGCTGAGACACACCCTGGAGGAACCAAAAGTTGGAGCTGTCTGCAGTCTACTGACAGCTCTTCCTGCGCTGGGCAGCCAGCCCTTCCTTTAAAAGGGTCAGGTGATGGATCTCCAGGTTAATCAAACCTTCCTCAACACCAGCCCACACGCAGTTAGAATAACAGTTAGCATGTGACAAAAGCTGATTATTTGCTAGTCACAACGCTGTGGTCTATGATTGGATTTTATTTGTTCTCAATAAAGCTTTATGAGGACATCTTATTGCTAGTTTCACTACATGTATAAAAGACCTTGAGATTTAGAGAAGTGAAGTTTATCCTGTGCAGCCATTCCATGAGTGGCAGACCAGGAAATAAAATCTGATTCTCTTTACTCTATGGTCCATGGCTTGACTACTCAGCTATACTCCTCACTGGCTAATGGATGGTGTTAGACTTAAAGCATTTCTTAAATGAGGTCCTGCAGGATATTTTCTTCACATGTCTATGCTGTCAAACAACACTTCTAATGAAGGCATTAGCAGACATGCTTGTCAAATTAATAGATGACAATTACCGGAAAGGAAAAATACTTTAGACACAAAAATCAAAGGCATTCCTAGGAGCAATGATGTTTAAAATTATCAGGATGAAACTTAGGAGGGATTTACATTAAATTTTATGCTTAGGTTCTACATTTCCATGCACAAATTCTAAATGAGGAAAATCTGACTTAGCAACAGTTTGTGTGAGAAAAAAACTGGAGAGGATTTGACTGGCTCCAGGGAAATGCAGTGAAGCAGCAAAAGATTAAGTATGGTTATCAGTTAGACCAGACTCTAGATCTTGGTTCCAACATGAAACACATGGATGGATACTTTTACTCTCTAAGACTAGATTTTTTTCATCTAAATTAGAAATAGTAATACCATTCATCTTGACTACCTCAGACACTTCTTAAGAATATTTTGGGGAAAATATGTAAAAAGACATAGACTATCATATAGAATATAAGAGCAAACTTTGCTGTTATTTTTGATGCATGCTGTCTCATATCAGATACATAGCAGGTGGGCAACATGATGTACAGCAAGGTGGCTCAAGAGGATACCTAAATGGCATGGGCTACGTCCATCCCAGCCCCTTTTTGAGATGGACATCTGGCTCTGATTGGGACAACAGTTTCAAATTTATTGACTCAAAAAATCAGGATCCCTGTATGACTGTGGTACAATATTTAGGTATATTTCTGTGGAGAGCCAATAAGAGGAGGAACAACTACAGATTCCAGGAAGGCTGAGAGGAGCAAAACAAAAAGTTAATAAAAAATTTCAAAGAGTTTATGGTTAATGTTTAAGGCTACTTTCTACCAAATGCTTTCTGAGCATGAAGTTTGTTATAATCAATTTTTCTTTTCTCTTCTCAGTCCTCTTGTGATCTGTAGCTATTTTTCCTCTTATTAGATTTTCAGGAAAGCTCATATAAACGGAGAAAGAATAAAGCAAAAGACAGTGTTGACTATCAACAATATACTAATCATTGTTGTACAACGGTCTACAAATATTTAGTCTTACCATTGTCTTCACTTTGCAGCTGGAAAGACTGAGGCTTTGTTTACATAAACATCTTATAAACAGATAAGCTATGCAGTTAGTAATTAGTGGGGTGGGATTGGAACCCAGGTTCAACTGCAGTGCTCTACCCTGAACACCCTTCCCTCTCCATCATCAAGACAACATGGAGACAAATTCTCAGTGTTGGTGTCACTCTGGGCATTGTCAGGGAGAGCAGAGCGTTACTCACAGCAGTATTGCTAAAGGTAGTGATGACAGTGTTTGCCATGAGCAGTACTTTCTGTAGAATGAGGCAAAGTTTTAATGGCATGTGACAACCTCTCCTTCCACCCTTCTTACACCCATGACTTTGTGGGACTCCAGAGACCCGTCACCTGTAACCATTCTCAAGAAGATATTATTGAGGTCAGAGTCATTCAAATATGTGGTATCTCAAGCCTAGCACCAAGAAATCAGTTATAATAACTATTGATGTAGGTACAGGACCTCTGGGACCCCCTGAAGTGCAGCCATATTCATCAGGCTCTATCACTTCACCCTTTCACCTGCACCATAAAGTCCAGTACTGGAACAAAAACACTGGAGTCAGTTTGCACACAGGGTTTAATAGCAGAGCATATTCAACTTAGATTCCTAGATCAGATCCCCAGGGACTGTGTGGTGACATAGACAGCCTGTATGTCACCAGCCAGTCAGCAATTTAAATATTCTCACATGGAATTGGGCCCTGCTGACACCCATCTACCCAGAACGTTACTTCTATCTGTAGATGCTCCCCCAACAAACTGCCACCCCCAAGAGTGCATTAAACCCTGAGAGTCCTAGCTCAGTTCTCCAACGATAGCCTCATCAGAAGAGGACTGTAAAATGCTCTAAGATAAAAGGGAATGTTATATGTCACTGAATGGCACTATCTACAGGTACAGAAACATGGCCTAGTACAGAGCTGTAAAAGCTCTCTCCTGAGCTTCAAAGGAAGAAAATTCAGGCTCGGCAGGACTGAAATATTTGCTCACCTCAGACCTCTGCTCCTTACTCTGCATACTCAGAAAGCACACCCCTCTACCTGTTTTATGTCCGCCCCATATGATATTTGTGAAAATACCCTGCAGATGTGAAGTGCTGTTTAACACTTTTGAGTTGTTCTTTATTTTCACTATCCCCCTCTCTGGTCAGGAGCAAAGTGGTATGGTACTGGAACTGGACCTTTCCTAGAGAAAGAGCGCTTCTCTCTCTGACTGCCTCCAAAAGCCCTCTGAAAGAGTTTAACTGTGAGAGGGAAGGGTACAGTTACTCTGAGACCTCCAGAGAGATTCTGGGCAAGTGACATAACTGAAGCTCATTGGAACAGATCTAAGTAGGAACTCAGATTCCCTCTCCTGCTTCTAAGGAATGTGGTGTCAATGTAGCTTATTAAAATGAGCAAACCAACAGAAAGTTGCTGTATTCTGGAATTATTACTTTGTGCATCAGCATAAACTATGCTCTTGAGCCATGGTATTCTTTTAGTTTTTTAAACTTATATGGCAGCAAGTTTCTCTTTGACAGAAAGAGCCCTTGGTGCCTGGAGAACACAGAGTGAATGAGGAATTATGAATTAGCAGTCAACTGGAAATGAGCCACCAGGGAGTAAGTACAGTGATCCACAAAGAGACCTCTAACACTCCTCCTGACCTCCGCCTGAGGTAAGTAATCCGGAGCCCCACCAACTAGAACACTTAAGTGAACAGACTGCCTTACAGACTTCCTTACAGACTTCCTTACAATCTTCATTTTTGTTGAATAAAAAGACTCCCTCCCTCCCTCCTTCTTTCCCTTCTTCCCTCCCTCCACTATTCTAACTCAATTTTCTATTATGCTTTCCTACAATTGGCTGATTGATCCTTTGTATCTTGTTTTTATTTTGTTGATGGATCATTTTGATCTTCATTGCTGAATCTTTCATCTTTGAAATCTCTCAATCTTAGAGGACTCTAGGGTAATTTAATCACCACTGCTTATACTCACACATTAGGCGATCTCATCTGGCCCAAGATTAAGAACTATCAAAGTGTGGTAATGATTCTCAATATATAACTGCAACTGTGGACTCTTCCACTGATACTGATACATCTAAACATAGGTCTAACTGCCTACTTCCTACTTTAATTAAAAATTAAATTCCTGATGTCACTCCCATCTCAAACCTGCTCCTTCTGTATTTTCCTTATCACAGTAAATGACATTTCTATTTATTCAGTTACCTCTGCCAAAATTTGGCATCAACTGATTCTACCATCAACTGATTTCTTTCATTCATATCTCACATCAGTTCCAACAACAAGCTCTATCAGCCTTCCTTTCAAAGGACATTTTGAATATTTGTTGCTTGGCTTCCCATGAGTACGCTGTATGCAAATCTCTTAGCTGGATGTGGCCCCGAATTCATCTCTGTGCTTCCTCTCTAAGCCTTTTAGTCTGTTCTCTACACAGCAGTCACTGATTCTTTTCGGACCTATTGAGTGATGTGACTTCACTTTTCAAAGGTTCTGATGGATTCCTGACCCACCGAATACAAACTGAAGGTCTTCACCACAGGTTACCATCCCCTCTGTGGTCTCAGTGTTCCATTTATACTCCCTTTGATTTTTCTCCTCTGGCCCCACCATGCTGGGCCTCTGAGGGCTGTTGTAAACATAACGAGATTACAGCACCTCAAAGCTTTGCATGTGCTTTTCCCTTTACCAGTGCGTATCCACGTGGGCCTCTTTCTTGCTTAATTTCAGTCTCTGATCACATTTCATTTCAACAGACAGGACTTTCTTGACCACATATTTAAATTAGGATCTCTAGCACTCATTCTTTTTCTCCATGCTTTGCCTTATTTTTCTTTATAGCCTTTATCCTATATTCTTCATTTTATCCCCAAATGCTTTTATTACTTTATAAACTTACACACTGAATTTTAAATTGACACATGAATAGTTGTACATGTTTTGGGATACCATGTGATGTTTTTAACATATGCCTATATTGTGGAGTGAGCCAACCAGGGTAATTATGGTATCCATGCCCTCAAACACTCTGTGATGGGAATATTCAAAATCCTCTCCTAGAAATTCTGAAATACACAGTACATTATCATTAGCTATACTTGCTGTATGGTGCCATAGAGCTCCACAACTTGTTTCTAATTGTAATTTTTTAACCATTGATCATCCTTTGCCCACCCACCCTCACTCTCCTTTTGTCTCTTGTAACCTCTATTCTGTTCCCTGCTTCCGTG